TTTCCCTAAAATATTGGACCCAGAGCTACAAGAAGGGATCTTTTGGAATCTTTAGACACGGATGGTCAGTGAACGAGAGAAGGACCGTGAGAGCAACACTTGATTCAAAAAGCAGGCTAGTAGTTGGTCTATACAACTGATTTGTAATGTAGCACCTGACACATAGAAGGTACCCAAATTCAGGCCACACACTTGTGCCCTTAAGCACACATACCCTAGTGCCCTTTCCCCAGGTGGTGGTCAGAGGAACCAGGCCCTGAGCCTGGACAGTTTGCAGGACCTGAGAAGCGGGAGGGAGAGTCAAGGATAGTTTGATTATTTCTTTCTCCTCTTTCACGCAGAAAGCCCATTTCCTGTGTGGAGCTGGAGTATGTGGTCCTCTTGACACTACGGGCTATTCAGATGTCTACCCCTCGGCTTGTTGGGAGTCGGGAGTGGTAATCTTGACAACAAATAGAGACACAGGACCAGCCCTGTAGCCTGGTGTGTAAGGGAGCTGGATCCCACATGGCTGACTGCAGTGTGAGTCCTAGCACCAGAGGCTTGGAAAACACACTAGGCATATGTGTGTGCATGCCCCAAATCCTGACAGGATGGAGAAATGGAGAAGGGATTGAGATCATGCTCCACTGGGAGGTGCTTCCTCCCACTCTAGCTCTCTCTCTGTCTCTCGGGAGAGTGCATGTGCATGTACAATTAGGAAAGAAAAAAAGGAAATATGGAAAAGAATATCTACTGAGAGGCTTCCGTGGGCAAACTATAAAATTAAAATGTAAATTAAATTGCCCCTTCCCCAATCTCATGAACGGTTTGGGCTTTCCCTTGCTTTGAAATAAGTGTCTGTTTTGCATTTTTAAACCTGCCCTCTCATCCTGAGAAAGGTTTTCATTTCAGAGCCTGAAATTTTTGTCTACTTTTCAAAAAGAAAACAGTAAATCACAGAGATTAGCCAGTGTAAATGTTAAGTTATAAGTTACATTTCAAACTGTGAAAAACAATTATTTTAGAGAATAAAATAAAGCCTGAAACTAAAGCTCTGTCCTGTGTGTGAACCCACGTAAGCCAAGAACTCCGAAGCTCTGGGCAATGTTTCCAGTCAGCACTGAACATAAAAAAGTGTTTAACCACAATCTTGGCCCTGGCACATATTTTAAATGACGATGGAACCAATCACACTGGTTCTAACAGTAAATAACTATCAGCAATTCAGAACATAACACCTCATTACCAACACCACTCTCCCTGCTTGGTGGCCAGAAGGCCAAAGTGAAATTTGTGCCTCCAAAAATATATTTTTGTGGGGGAGGATTTTGCTATAGGGTGCATGCGCTCCTCAGACAGACAGAGAGACAGAGACAGAAAGTGGGAAATCACCCCCCATGGGGGATGGCCCCACTGCAATCCCTTCTCCTACATTCTCCTCTCAGGATCTTGGGAATACATACACACATACAACTGGCGTGAGTTTAAGCCACTGGGTCCGAGACTCTCGAACCACGGTCGACCACATGGGAGTCCAGTGACATAGCTATTACGCCAACTGCTGGTCCCAATGAAAAAAAAATTTTTATTTTATTATTTTTATTTATTTATTTAATTCCATTTGTTATCATTATTATTTTACAATTTTACCAGATAAAGACAGAGAGAGAGAGAAAGGGAAAGTGGTAAGCAAGCCACCAGATTCGGGACTCGAACAGCAGTTGGCCCATGTGAAAATCCACCCCTTTAACCACCACTACTCCACCAGCTGCTGGCCCCAAAAAATATTAATTGCGATTTTTGAGCCTTTTCTGTTTCTGAAAGGAGCTGAAACTTGGATGTGACAATTATACCTAGTTCAACCGTGTATAAGACACTGCAGAACACACATACTTTGTCAATAAATGTCCAGATTATAATCTGAGAACCTAAGAAGCCATATGATGTGCTTTCTTTTTTCTTTTTTTTTTTGCTATAGGGAGTATGCGTTCTGGCTTTCTGACATAGAAAGCAAGAAATCACCCCCCAGGGAGAATGGCCACGCCACTATCCCTTCTCCACTGTCCTCTTGGGATCTTGGGCACACATGCACACGTACCTGGCCTGAGTTTAAGCCACCAGGTCCGGGACTAGAACCGTGGTTGACTACATGGGAATCCAGCGACATAGCCATTACGCCAACTGCTGGTCCCTGATGTGGTAAATTAAAGGCATTCTGGGTAGGTGAGGAGGCTATGGCTGAGCTCACAAGATGGCAAGTCTCTGAGAGCCCTTCGGTCCACTCCGATTTGAAGCAGTATCAGCAAAGGTGAGGAGCAGACGGGACAGTAGTAAGGCTATCTTGGCCACAGACCAGCACTGAGGGAGGCTCCACTTCAGAAGGGCTGGATACGGGGTACTGGGTAGAGAAGAGGTGGCAGCACAGGATACTGGAGACACAACCACGTCGAGAGAACCAAGTGAAAGGGAGAAACCTCAGGGATGTGACTCAAATGGGATCTCCTTAACAATGTTGGAGGGGTTCCAGAGGAAAACAGAAACCCTCATGCTTTCCTCAGCCTTTACATAACCAGTATGTTTCTTCTGCCCAGTTTCCAGGAACGTATCAGACACATCCACAGTTTACAGAAAGCACAGGAGATCCCTGTGGTTACTGTTCACACATCTGCCCACAGCTCAACTGCCACTAGTGAACAGTGTGAGCTGCCAATCAGTGCATGCACCTGTCTGCACCCCTGAACTCACCCATCTGCTGGTAGCATTCCAACCCTTGAGGAGAACTGGCTGCTGAGGTCACTATTCCCGCTACCTGTTTTAAAAATTAGGTGGGGGTGGGCCAGCGGGCGTCGAAGAGGTTAAGAAGGATGGAGTCAATGTGACATACGATGACTGTTCAGGCAGCTCTGACCCAAAAAATATTTTTCCCTCAAGTATCTCATGTTCTGCAAGAATTTTCTATTAAACAAAATGCATTATTAAATAACTGTTTACTGTTTTTATTCATCAAAAAAAAAATAAGTGCAGGCCATCAGGTGGCAAGATGTTAAGGCAGCTGGATCTCATGTGGTTGACTGTGTAGTCTGATTCCTAGACTCGGCACCTTAGAAAAGATTCCAGTTGTGTATGTGTCCAAAATTCTGAGAATGGAAGAAAAGGAATTATGGCGTGGCCATCCCCCTGGGAGGGTATTTTCTCACTTTCCCTTCTCCACCGCTCGCTCTCTCCAGTGAGCAAACACACCAATAGCAAGTAGACTTTTGAAGAAATCTTTTTTGGTGGGTGAGATCCACTGAGAGATTCTCATTAGTTTTTCCCCTGTGTTCTAATCTGATGGACTTTGATTTAAATAACTTGTAGAAGGAGCTGCAAACACCCCCTTTTTGGTCTTACCTGGATTTTGGTTGCTGAAAGATGTTTGTTCACTCTCTCTTTCTTTGACAGAACCTGGTGGTGTCTTCTAAATTTATCTCCCTCATTATTTCCAAATACGTCTGCTTTCACTTTGGGACCTCTGTTGGAAGAAGGTCCGGGGTGCCATCTCATAGCTTCTTAAAGCTCATAAATTGAAAGTCTTACTTACAAAGAGACCCGACCTATATATTTTCAGTGGTACCAAAAGGCCCACAAGCCTCAATCTATTGCTTACTAATGGAAATTCCTCAGGCTTACTAATGGAAATTCCTTGAGGATCACAGCACTATATCCATGTGCACACATGTTATGTGGAAAAGTTAACTGATTAATCCATTTTTTCCCCTTTGACAAAGCAAGGAATGAATGAAACAGAGTTTAATTGCAGGAAACAATCCAGGGCCACTTGGTGGAGACCCCCAGGAAAGGCTGGGCATGAGCATTACCAAGTATCTTAAGGGAGGCAAGGTTGCTCCTGAATAGACCAAAAGACAGGAGGAAGCCCGATCTACCCCGTGCCTTCAGCTGCTGTTCTTCCTGAGGGAGTTCTCAAGCAGTGTGTTAACATCGGATCGAGGCGTGCATAAAGACAACTGGAGGAAGAGGAACTTCATTTGCTACTGCAGGAACACATTTCAACAGCTCTTCTACACAAGGTGCCACAGGCTCCTGCTGGTGTGTTCTCTGGTCCACTTCAGGGAAGGGGCCTCACTCGCTCAGTATAAGTGATGTGTCTATGAAAGCTGGCTCATTAAAGGGGTTAAAGTTCTTAAGTTACCTTTTAAAGAAATAGAGATGCAATTCACTTGGGTTGTTGAGAGTTCAGGAAGTTGAGGAAGGAAAGGAGTACACTAGGTCAAACCACTGCAATGCTCTGTGAAGCTGACCCTCACAGAGGGTTATGGGTTCGTGTCCAGAGACCTCCCTGAGAACTCCACGTAAGCACCATGTGGACTGGCTGAGGCTACAGAGTCAAGATCCTGTTGGGGGTGTTGTTTCTCTTTCTTGCTCAGGGAAGAAATACATACAAGAGTTCAGAAAGCATTTGTAGATTTTTAAGCCACATTTTTATTTGTTATCGGTATCAGCGAAGAAATGTCTTAAAAAGAGAATCAAATCCTTAGGTTAACTGTAACATTTTCAAGGTAACTGCATTAAAAAAAAGATATTATTTTATATCTCCCTGTACTGTATTACCCTACGACTGTACATAAACTTCTGCATTTTAAAGCACTTGACACTTACAAAGTGAAAGGTGTTGAAATGCTAGGCAAAAATTGGCCGAACATTATTATTTTTGGGGGGGAAGATTTTTCCTCCTTGTGCTTATTGTCAATCTACCAACATTCTCAAGTCAAAGTTTCTGGAAACTCTCTGGAAATACTCTGGAAACTGTTCTGGAAAACCTCACAGTAGACAAGGGCTAAGTGCAGACATAAGCAGCTCCATTTTATAAACAAAGTTTCGACCTTCCATTTTATTCCACTGAACTTCTTTGAACGGCCCACGAAGATGACTCCATTTGCTGTCTTGTAAAACATCACTTTTTGGAAGGTCTTTACACTGGTTCCGAGGAAATTGAACCATAATCTTGCTGCCACTTTCAGGTCCATTACGAACTGTGAGAAAAATCAAAATATCTATATGCTCACTCTTCAAACCGTAACACAACCAGGATAAAACCCAGAACTTCATTCTGTGAATACAGAACCTTATCTGCCATGAAACTTAAAAATATTCTTGTTAAAAGCACTTTTTAGTTTCAACATGCTTAAATTTTTTAAAATTTGTATGTATCAAGGTGGTATAAATATTCATAAACCATTATATTATGAAATTATACTATAAAACTACACTATAAAAATTAGGCAATATAAATTTTGGCTTAGGAAAAGTTGAATGTCCCATATATTTTCAAGAAATTCCCTACTCAAAAGAAGTACATTCAGGCCAGCAAGTAGTAAGATAGTTAGGATGCTGGAATCCCACATGGCCAACCATGGTTCAGATTCCAGATCTGGTGGCTTACTTTCTGACTTTTCCTCCCTCTCTCTCTGATGACTATAACAAGCTAAAAAAATAAAGAAAGAAAGAGAGAGAGAGAAAGGAAGGAAGAAAGTAATTCTTTTTTAAAAATTATTTTATTTAACTTTATTCATTCATTCATTTATTTATTTCAATTTGACCAGAAAGGGACAGAGAAAGAGAGAGACAGAGAGAGCAAGCTGCCAGGTCTGGGACTCAAACCATAGTCAGCCATGTGGGAGTCCAGCACCCTTAACCACCAAGCCACCTGCCAGCCCCAAAAGAAAATAATTCTTAAAAAAACACATTCATTTATTATTCAATGATTCAATGAGCTAATACATCCCTAATACATAATGAAACTCAACCACTGTGAATGAGGACTAGGAAGGATGATGGAAAGATTTTTTAAAATTATTTAATTTTATTTCTCATTATTATTTTTAAATTTTTCTACAGAGAGGAATAGAAAGAAAGAGAGAGAGAGAAATCAAGCCACCAGGTCCAGGACTCAAACTGTGGTCAGGTATGTGGGAGTTTAGTGCCTTTAACCAATGCACCAACTGCTGGCTCCAGAAAAGATTATTTTGCGTGAAGAACTTCAAAGGAGTTTGTTTTTTTTTTATTTTATATTCCTTCATTTATTTTAATTTGACCATAGAGAGACATAGAGAGTGAGAGAGAGGGAAAGTGAGAAAGCAAGCCACCAGGTCCAGGACTTGAACCGTGGCCAGCCATGTGGGAGTGTCCAGCGCCTTAACCACCCTGCCACCTGCTGGCCCCAGAGGGTTTTTTTTTTTTTTTTTGATAGGGTGTTTTTTGCTATAGGGCGTGTTTACCTGCTAGAGTGACAGAGAGAAACAAAGACAGAAAGCAAGAAATCAACCTGTGGTGGGGAGGGCCATGCCACAATCCCTTCTCCTCCATTCTCTCAGGATTTTGGGCACGCATGCACACATGTATGGTGTGGATTTCAAGCTACTGGGTCCAGGAATTGAACTGTGGCTGGCCATGTGGGAATCTATGCCACCTCCTGGGCCCAAGAACTTCAGGTTTTAATGAGGTCTTATTACTCAACAAAGAAAAGGGTATTTTGGAATTCCTAGCAGGAAAAACCCAGCGATGACTAAAATGACAGATTTACAAATTATAATCCTATGGGAAATGTTTCTAACTGACCAACTGACCAACTCCTTCACCATGGTTAAAGTATTTAGAGCAGGTATCAGAAAGAAAAAGATCACACTAACCGTAAACACTCTGAATGTCAGTGTAAGCTAGATCGAGCCTGTATGATTGCCTATCTCAGTGCTCATACATGAGTAGTAGGTACTTAATAACTCTCCACACTCTTCCAACGCATTACCATTTTGGGGACCAGATATTCCTCCCGAGTTTGCAAAGTATATTTTTAAAAAGTTTTTCTCCATGAAAAGTTTTGAGCTGCAGAAGTAGCAATGCTGATGCTTTTCAGACTATCTTTTAGAAAGATGTGCTGTCAAGCTAAACATGGATCTTTATATGAAGGGAATAACCTCTTGTTGTAAATTGAGAATAGCTAAACACTTAGGTGTAAATACAGCACTGGCTCACTCAGCAGAGACACAAATTACTCTGACATGTTAATTAGGAAAGCTAACTGCTGAGGCTAAAGTCCCAGTGGTTCCTTCTCCTTACCTGAAATAGCGTAGTCGCCACTCGGTGAAGCCACCGTTATGGCGGAGGCATTGCCGATGCTCTCTATGGGCCCAAGTCCCACATGATTACTGAAGCTCAGGACCTGCCAGCCCATGACCTTGGCCAGCTGCTGGACTGCATGCACCTGATGCTGCGACATCTGTGAATAAAAAAGGCAGTCAGCACGGGTATTTTCCTTGTAGTGACTTGACATCGTGATCATGAAGCAAATTTTTATTGGGGTTTTCATGCCTAGCACAGAAAACCTATCCTATATTTGAGGAATCTTCCTCTGTTTTGCTATTAAGGACAGAGAGCAGGGCCTTGTCTTCTAATACAAAAGCTAAAATAGTCTGGCATTCACCTTTCCTGTCCACTGGCTGCCTGAGCACGGCCACATCTCCTAAACTTGGCCAAGTGGAGAGTCCTGCTTGGATCACTGCATGGGAGCAACATTCAAAGTAGCAGGTATGCTGGCCAGCGGATGACACGGTGGTTAAGGTGGCTGGACCCACTAGCTTGAAAAACACTAGGTATGTGTGCGTGTGTGCCCAAATTCCTATAAGGAGGAGTAAATGGAGAAGGGATTGTGGTGTGACCATGGCCCATATGGGTGCTTTATAACTTTCCCTCTCTCTGTCTCTCCCCCGTCAAAAATTAAGTATCAAGTATACTGAGTTATCTTCCATCTTCCCTTTAACTCCACTCTCCACCTTCCTCTCTGCCCTAGGCAGTTGTCCTGTATGGTTATGTTAATAGCTTCTTAGGTCCTCTGGCTTCAGGGCGGGTTCAGGTAATGGGAGCTAGCCAATGCAGTCAACAGGAGAGTAAGAAGAGAATGAGGTCAGGGTTTTTATTTCCCCTTCGTACCCTTCCTGTAAGGTTGTCTAGGCTGGTTGTATCTCTCGACAAAAAGACACTTGGGCTTCTCAGGGTGGCCTGTTCTAAGGACTCTGTTCTTTAAGGTTCCTATAACTCGCGCTTACCTTAGCCTTGGACTGGTGACTGTTGTGCCCCTGGGGCCTGGTTATCTGTCTACTCCCTCCAGCAAGTGACTATACTATCCCTGGGGGCTCTCTTACACCCACACTGTAGGCTCCCCTGGGCCAACAGATAGAGTGATAGTTAAAGTGCTGGATCTCACGCAGTCAAGTCCCAGACATGGTAGCTTGAAAAAAACACTGAGTGAATGTGTGTGCGTGTCTAAAATTCTGAGAGAAGAATGGAAAAGAAGGAACTGCAGTGTGGCCATTCCCCCGGGAGGTGATTTATCACATTCTCTCTTTCTCTCTGTCCAGTGAGCACACACTGCCTGTAGCAATAAATAAACAAATAAGCCCTCGTGATCCGATCTTTCTGAGTGTCCACTTCCTTCTTGTTAGGACCCTGCCTGATACACAGGGCAATACAGAATGAACTCGACCACCAAAGGAGAGGGCAGCACAGGGCTGTTCCCCTAGCTGTGGTTCTTATCATCCCACTTCCTTTGATCTTCATCCATTTGCAATCCTTGTTCCTGAAACTTGCCATGGACTCTGAGAGCTATCCCACAGCATTCTGATAGTTTTGGATTTAAGCTTAATCTGATCAAAGCTATTTTGGATGTAGTCAGCAAAGACCTCGCAAACCTCACGTTTTTCATTTACTTGGCACCAGAGCAGCAAATCAGTACGTAAGGTTCTTGCTTCTGGGATACAGAGTATGTATGTGTGTGTGTGTGTGTGTGTGTGTGTGTGTGTATGTGAAAAAATAGTACCTTATAATAAAATTTCAAAAATCTACCCTTTCTTGGGCTGGCTCCATGGCTTAGTGGTTACGGGAGCTGGATCACACATTGACTATGTGGTCCAAATCCAGCCCTGGCAACTTTAAAAAAAATGCTGGAGCGTGGGGGGAGAGGTGGCGTAGTAGTTAAGGCACTGGACTTTCACATGGCCAACTACAGTTCAAGTCCTGGATTTGAAAGATTGCCTTCTCACTTTTCTTCTCTCTTTCTCTGTCTCTCTCTGGTCAAATTTAAAAATAATAATAATAAATTAAATGAATAATTCTTAAAAAAAAAATGCCAAGTATGTGTGTGTGAGCCTCTACAATCTGTACAAGATGCAGAAATGGAGAAGAAATGACTGTTGAAGCATGGCCACTTCCCATTGAGGGCTGCTTTCTCTCTCTTTCATCAGTGCATGTTCTCCTGGCAAATAAAAAAATAAATAAAAACTACGTTTTCTCTCACAATTTTTTTTGAAAATTTACTTATTATTATTATTATTATTTTAAACTTGTTATAGGGCACGTGCACTCACCAGAGACAGAGAGAGAGGGAGAGAGAAAAAGTGAGAAAGTGAGAAAGTAAGCCACCAGGTCCAGGACTCAAACAGCGATCATGCCCCATAAGTCAGTATATTTCACTGGTAATCACAACTCCACAAAAAAGGTAGAAAGAGGGAACCAGCAGTTAGCGTAATGGCTATGTCACTGGACTCCCACGTAGTCGACCGCGGTTCGTGTCCCGGACCCGGCGGCTTAAAACTCACGCCGGGCGCGTGTGCGTGCGTGCCCAAGATCCCGAGAGGAGAATGGAGAAGGGATTGCAGTGTGACCATCCCCCCTGGGGGGTGATTTCTCGCTTTCTGTCTCTATGTCTCTCTCTGTCTGTCAGGCGAGCGCACGCGCCCTACAGTGAAAATCTCTCAAAAAAAAAAAAAGGTAGAAAGATACTTTACTTTTTTTTTTTTTTAAACAGATAGAAAGAAAAGTCTAGAAATCTGACCAATATCAATAAACCAGTTTTGTGGTTCAGTTAAGACTAGAACTCAGTGGTCTCTTAAAATGAGGAACTCTTTCTTAAGGCTTCAGATTAAAAGATTTCATTTATTATTATGGGTTTTGGTCATTATAGTTTTATATCTGATATCCCTTTCTCTAATTTTCTTAGATTACTACTTCTCCACTGTCACAAGATAGTGAAGAGGTGATAAACCATGGGAAACATGAGAAAAAAAAATTTACTAGTCTCAGCACTGGTCCTTCATCTTCTTTAACATTTTCTGGGACTTGAACCCGAGTTGTTTGCCATGTGGGATACAGTCGCCTTAACCTTCACGCCTTCTGTTGGTGCTGGTCCTTCATCTCAAACACAGACTAAGTAGAAACAATTCTATTTTATCAACACTTTTAGGTGGCAAAACATGCATTAGAAATTGAAGTAGTATAGGGACCAGCAGGTGGTGTGGTGCTTAAGGTGCTGGACACTCCCACATGGTCGACCATGGTTCGAGTCCCAGAACCGGTGGCTTGCTTTCTCACTTTCTCTCTCTGTGTCTCTTTCTGGTCCCATTAAAATGAATGAATGGGGGCCAGCAGGTGGCATGGTGGTTAAGGGTGCTAGACTCCCACATGGCTGACTATGGTTCAAGTTCTGGACCTGGTGGCTTGCTTTCTTGATTTCTCTCTCTCTCTCTGTGTCCCTCTCTGGTCAAATTGAAATAAGTAAATAAATAAAGTTAAATAAAATAACCATTAAAAAAATAAAATGAATGAGTAAATAAAATTAAATAATTCTTTATTAAAAGAAATTAAAGTGGCATAAAAAACTATTTTCTTCTTACGTAATTTAATTTGATACAATTGAACTCCTTACCTAATCTGGTCTTTCAGCAGTGATAAGAGGGAGGGATTTAAGACTTGTAGTTGGCGACTTTACCTGAGACAGAAGGAAGTCCTGTAGCTCCTGCTCCTGATGAGACAGTGTAATCACTCTTCCATCTCTGTGTACGACCCGGATCTGGTCAACTCCTATATTCAACTGCAGCTGAATAGACCTTTGCAGACACATATATTAAAAATCAGAAATGTTCAAAATTATCTTATATAATTGCTACAAACATTAAACCTTAATGTTCTGAAAAAGAAAACAGAAGACACTTTTAATAACCTACACCAACCTCCATGGGAGAGAGGGGCACCCTCTGAGTTCAGCTGGGCAGTCAGATACACCCAGGACCAACCATAGTGACATCTGGTCTACGGGAGTGGAGAAGAGGAAGCATGGCTTGCCAGCAGGCCAACACCAAGTGCCCTTTGTCCGTGGCAGTCCTTGCACGGGACGTACAGCTGCGTGCACAGCAGCAGTGTAGCAGGATGTGATCCATACTGGGGGTATGTGGTTACTAGCTAACTATTCATTGTAGGTTGTGAAGGCAAATTAAGTAGACTCCACCTACTGCTGGGAACAAAAACCATTTCACTCCCTTCACAGACACAGCCTGCTGTCAGCCCCATGTTCAGATCATAATCATGACTGAATTAGGACCAGGATCATCACCAGATCAGGAGAGTGCTCCAAAATGGGGTCTGTCTTAGGCACAATATGGAATGTCTAGGTGCTAAGGTAACGTGCCCTTATCACTCCAAACACGATTACATGTGCCACAGCCGCTAGACAGGAACTAAAGTAGAGCCCGGAGCCTAAGGAGGTGAGGAAGCTCTTTGTTCAAGGGTGGGCTTTACTTTTTACCATAGCCTAAATATGTGACGTTTATCTAGTACAAATTTCTACTACACATTTGGACATTCTTATCTTTCATTCTTACACCCTATAACTGATATAATTTGATGAGGTGTTACTCCACCCTAGCAAACAAAAACCTAAAACTTGATAATAGTCACTTAGCAAACATCAACACCTACAAAGCAATATAACAGATTAAATGCAAAACTTTCACTGTTAATACTTACTTGCATATTTGCTCGTAACCTTGTGATGTGATTAAAACCTTCACACTAGATTCATAAACGTCATTAATATTTGACCAATGAGCCTGTATCTGAGGGTCCTCAATGCGACTTGCTAAGCTGTCAATGGTTGCAGCAGTTCTTGAAAAGAAGTTAACATTTTAAAAAAGTCACCATATGAAATAAGATTACAAATCACTCATCAATTTTATGGGGATCTAAAAACTACATGAGTACTTACTTTTCAAACGACTACCACCTGAAAAACAAAGATTCTAAAGGGTGGAAGGAAGGACTTCTAAGACCCTCTTAGGTCACACTGATGTGCTGGTCTCAGCTCCACATTACAACACGCTCGTCACACACATACTCCTGATCATCACAATTTATGATGAGCTAAGACCCTTTAACCCCATCCAGTTTCTCCCAGTCAGGAAGCTATTAAGACACATCTCAGGGACCAACCAAACAAAAATCATTCATAAACACCAGTACGTGAGCTCTGGTAACTATTGACTGGGGGCACACCCACACCTAGAGCCATTACTGTAATGGAATTATTACTTTTTAAAGAAACTTGGGACCAACAGTTGGCATAACGGCTATGTCGCTGGACTCCCATGTAGTCCACTGCAGTTCGACTCCCAGATCCAGTGGCTTAAACTCACACCAAGTACGTGTGCATGTGTGCCCAAGATCCTGAGAGGAGAATGGAGGAGAGAGATTGTGGTGTGGCCAACCTCCCTCGGGGGTAATTTCTTGCTTTCTGTCTCTGTCTTTGTGGCCAGCGCACGTGCCCCATAGTTAAAAAAAAAAAAAACCCTCCAAAATAAAAGAAACTCATACTTTGGGGCTAGCAGCTAGCAGGGTGGTTAAGGGACTAGACACTCCCACATGCCCAATCATAGTTCAAGTCCCAGACCTGGTGGATTGATTTCTCACTTTCCCTCTCTCTGTGTTTCTCTCTGGTCAAATTAAAATAAATAAATTAATGAATAAATAAAATCAAATAAATACTTCCTAGGGGAAAAAAAAAGAAACTCATACTTTAATTCTATTTTCCAAGCACTTTTTTTTTTTTTAATTGAGAAAATTTTTGCCTTTTTTTTTTTTTAAGAGAGTTTTTTGGGGGACCAGCAGTTAGTGTAATGGGTCAGTCGCTGGACTCCCAAG